GGGGGGGGGGGGCCTCGGATCCCGGCAAACGCCTCCTGACCAGGGCCTCTTAAGAGGGGCTCCCGTAGGGATGGTGTTGGGATGGGTGTGTGAAGAACAGATGGCCCGGGCCGGCCCGGCTCCACGGTTAGCCCTTCGGCCTGTGCTCCGGGGGGGTGTGGGTTGGGCTCCCAGTCAAGGGCGCGGACCTGGTTCCATCCCAGGCCCCGGTTGGGGTGTGTTCAGGAGGCAACCAATCGATCTCTCTTCCCCCCCCTCCCGCATCCCTTCTGCTTTCTCAAAAAATCAACAGAAATAATATCCTCGGGTGAGCATTTTGGAACAGATGAGTGTTTTGTATTAAAAAAAAAAAAAAGAAGAAGACCTAGTGATGTTCTGCCTTTATCCAGTAACCCTGACCTTCCTTCCTTCCTTACAGCCTGGGCCGTTCCCATTCCTGCCTTGCCCCCCCTTGCTGTGTGGGTTCCAAGTCCTAACACTGAGCAAGGACCCTGGAGCCCTGGAACGCTGTGGGTAACACCCCCGCCCCGGAGGTGTGTGTCCCCCTCAGAGAGGAGGGGCTGGGGCAGGGGCAGCCCCCCCATGAGTCCAGGAGGCTGGGGCAGAGGGGAGGGGGTCCGGCAGAGATAAGGGGGACCCGAAGCAGGACACCCGCCGAGCTGGCCGCGCTGGGAAAGAGCAGCAGATACGCTGAGCATTTAAGAGTCGAAATGCAGGGGAGCCCCAGGGCTGAAGCCCCAGGAAGCTGAGGGGCTGGCCGGGGAGGACCCCCCTGAGCACAGGGGCGGCTGAGGCAGAGGGAGGGGCCGGAGCCAGAGGCCCAGGGGCCGGGAGGGCTGGACTGAGGCTCAGCAAACGGCGTGGCTACCTGGGCAGATGACGGGGACCTCGGACCTCGGGCAGCAGTCGCTCACATAGAGGCCACTGTGAGGGTGGGCAAGGGCGTGAACCGGGCGCGAGGGCCGGCGGGTTTGCGCCCAGAATGCGCGGCGTTCGCCTCTGCTCGCCGGGTGCCCCTCCCCATGCTGCGCAGCAGCGGCCCGCGTCAGGACCTCATCACCGCAGCCTCTGTCTGGAGCAGGGGGCTCTCTCGAGGCCAAATTAACTCACCTGGGTCCTTCCCTTCAAGGAGCTGGACCAGGGTTCGATTCCCCCTGGCAAGGATGGAAATAAGAAAGAAAAGTAGGGGGGAAATCTTTATTTCCCCCCTCCCCTTGGAATCCGGAAAAATGCTTAAGTGTGGAAAAGCACATTTTCTGTTCCCATCCATTCCCTGCAAGTAAAAATCCCCCACTCCACCCGGCCTGAGGGCCGCAGGGGGACTGTGAGGGGTTCCTGTGTTGCTACTGGCTATTCAGTGTCAAATCTCACCCTCTTTGTAAAGTTTCCTGCAGGATACAGAGACCTCCCTGAGGGTGGAGGCGAGGCCACAGCCCCTCCTCCCGCCGGCCCCCCGCACAGCCCGGGGGGGGGGCGGTACAGGCGG